GAGGCCAATCATCAACCGATCAAGAAGGCGTGCAAGAGGAAGATCTGCCACGTGGATGAGCAAATGAAATTCTTTCTCGGAGCAGTTGCAAGTCTGTGTGTTCAGGTCCCCGATGTTGCTTTTGAGATGATCACATTTTCAGCTGCCATTGTTTTCGCAAACAACCTAAAGCTTATAGACTTCGGCTGTCCGCAAAAATCCATGATGAACCACATTCAAATCTTGAGAATGATGCCGAGTCGAACAACATGCACCAGATATACACGACGCTTTGCAGCTCACAATGTCATCTTTCAACGTGCCCTGATGCTTGGGGCCACTGCACTTTTTCTTGGAGCAGACAAAGGCGGCGGCAGTTTGGTGAAGAAAGTCTACCTTTGGTTTCAGGGGCTAATTTACGACGTGGATCTTGATTTTGACGGTTCTGGAGAGGATGCGGCATCATGTGGAGATGCTTGCTATCATTTGTTCTTAAAGTTTGTCTTCGGCAACGATAAGCATAGCCAGCTGAAGGGCATTGTCAAGGGTGGAGGAAGCGATAGCGGTGGTGGTTTCACAAACGGGAAAATGAAGGAAGAGCTTGTGAGAAAGGGCTTGGCTAACAAGAATGAATACATTCACTGCCCATGCACCTCGCACAATGACCAGACCAATCTTCATAATGCTACTGAAAGCATCTTTGGTGAAGGTGGAATTGAGAAAAGGAATGTTATGCAACTATTGCATGCGCTTTCGGACTTCCAAAACGATTTTTCTCACAAATACCTATACTTAGATCTGCGAGAAGCTGCACATCATGATAAATTTCCCGACAAAGCAACAGTGCCAAAGGATTTGCTTTGATTGATGCAGGAGCCGATCACAACAAGGTGGAAGACAATTGGAATGGCTGCAAGGTACATTCACAAGTATCTTGATGTCCTTGTCTACTTTGTCAGCGCCATTTGCGACGTCGAGAGAACCCACTTGTACAGGAATAAATGCGGAAGCAACTTCGTTTCCTTGGCAAACGAGCCCGTGATCAAATGCGATTTGGCACTCTTGGCTGATTTTGATAAGATCTACTTCAACCATCACATGGAATTCAATCATACCGCTGACAAGAACATTGGACGAAGCGGTTTCCTAGCTCCACATCACCCTGTACGATACTTCTTGAAGGTGAGCGAGTTGCAGGAGTTGGAAGAGGAGGTTGAAAAAGGAACACTGTATATCAATCAAACCCCCGAAAGTGCAAGGCTTCCTTCCTTCTGGCAAGCGATGAGGGAGTGTGAAGGCTTGGTGGAAATCAAAGCTCAGATTGATCGTGCCAGAAAGTTTCTTGAGGTGTATAAAGGCTCCCTTCACAAGCACAACAAGCACTTTTGTAACGAGCTCTTGTTTCTTGGATGCTTCGGTGAACAACCAACAGCGACAATTGTTGCAAAATATCTGATAATATTGAGCTTAGGAAATGATCCCTCTGTTGAAGATTTAATGGAAGGACAAAAAAGGAAGTCGTTCAAGTCTACCATGCACAACGATAAAACAGTTGATCTTGAGGCGTTTGCAGATTTCTTGATCAAAAGTGCAAAACCGGATTGTGTCAATACCATACACTTTCGCAGACTACGCAATAACATTGTTAAGATATCATGCCATGCAGATTTTTGGAATCTGACGATTGAGTTGGGACATGAAGATAGGTTTTTTTATTTGAATCACTATGCTGCGCTTCCTTCAACAATGGAAGGCGTCAAACAGAGCGTGAAGATGGTACGATTGTGCAAGAGAACGGGCAAGAAGGATCAGAATGTGACAGTATATGGTCTTGCTCGAGGTCCACTTGACATCAAGTGTAAAGAACCCAATCTACTCTCATGTTCATACGAAGATGAAATGACAGAACGGCGAGCATCCAAAGAATCTGCTGCATCCGCCAAGGGGGAAGAGTCCAGATATGGTGGAGAGTATAATGAGGATTTGAGCCGCGGTCCTGTGCGACTGGAAAATGTATTGAAACATAGTCTCAGGCTGTACAAATACGTTGAGGAACAGAAAGCAGTGGACAAAGAAGAGTATCAGCGCAAATTGAAGATCACAATGGCAAATCTCTGTGACAAGAGCGCGCATGTAAGTACAAGACAAAATCAAGAATATGCTGCCCAAGTGACAAACGCATTTGGAATGAATCACAGAAGATCGGCACGAGAGAAACAGCAAGGGGTAGATATAACTCCGCACGTGGCTGGAAGAATTGTCTTCGCAAAGTGTCTGAAAGGCGAGAATATGAACGCAATGGTCCTTGAGGCTGTTGCTCGAGAACTTCTCAGTGAAACTGACAAGGCTGCTTACGATGAAGGTAAACCTATTTCTATCAACTACAGCACGCTCAGAAATTTGATTGCCGATGATGTAGTCAGCAGATGGAAGAAGGAGCACATAGACGAACCACTCAGTGAAGAAAGAGAAAAAGTTGTTCGAAAAACATTTCAGCCAATATCTGAAGCAACATTTGTTCAGAAGAAACGAGGATAAAGTCAGAAGGAATTGGTTCAGTTCAGTTGCTTTTTAAACTTAGTATAGTCCTATTACAAAACTTGCACTGCTCCTCTGTAGTTTTTACCAAAATGATGAACCAACGTTGCTTCTGCAGTCACTCAAATCTGCACTGAAATCAGAAGATCAACTCGTACGACTGTTGTATTATGCCTCATGCGCGAGTGTCGCGCATATAAGTTGTCTACATGGGACTGTGGAGACCTAGATTCTCTCCTCGACGACATATCTCACAAGTTTACTAAAGTGACGACCAAAGGGAAGACAAAGATAACAAAGAAGGTCCCAAAAACTTCCAAGCATCTGTCTCTTGAGAACGAGAGCCCTGTTCTGACACCAGCGCAACAGCGCCGGGCCCGAGAGTCGGAAAGGAAGCGAAAAATGGACCTGGAGAATAATGTCCCAAGCCCGCTGTTCATCATGGTTCTCCCTAGCATTTAATCGATTAATGTTTCAGTTATTATTATTATTATTGAGGTCTTCATGTCATTTTGTGGCTGTGCTGACACGCCACTGTGCTTCGCTGCATAGTTCATGCCCTCAGTAGCATTGGTATTGTACTCGTGTAAGCACCGAATTTTGTTCTTGCAATGAAAGGCAAACTGCTGGTCATTGAGTGTAACAATGTGATTAAGGATCCATCCTACACATTTTTCTGCAGGCTTGTCTCCAACAAATTGCCTGAGGCCCATTCCAAATGGACGAATTTCGCGTATTTTCTGTGTATTTGAATCGATGTACAACGTCTGTTTTCAACGGATTCTATACGTCGAATTTTTTCAAATCCAATTGGAATGACCATTGATTTTTCATTGTATTAGACAAATCCCTTAAGTAAAATACTCCGATTTCAATCGTTTTCGCGCCATTTGAAATTTTTTGTGCATTCGAATCTGGGAACATCAATCATCAATAATCATCCTCTGGTCGTCATATTTCAAATCAACCCGATCTGTCTACCATGGAACTGACACAATGGGAAACATGTGAGGATATCTACCCTCCGCCAAAAGAGATTGCAGAAGCTCTACAGGATGCAAAAGGAAAAGCAAGGCGCTCAATGGCTGGCCAATTGTTCTCTGCAAAATATTGTGGCAACGGAAACTTGAAGGTGGCCAAAATCCAAACCAAAAAAGTATCGAAAACATCATAGAGTTGGGAGGAAGAGACCCTGAATAGCGGTACCAAGTCCAGATATGATCCACCTGCAAGCATCCTCAGACCAATTGCAACTCGTATTTCCCCTGAAACAGGAGCAACTGCTTGTTCTCTTGGCTCCTGACTCCCATAAATTCGTTCGCGACGCTGAGAAAGAAATGACTCGGAACGAAACACTTCTGGTCCAATTTCATTGCAAATCGTTGCACATAGTGTGGCAAACATACTCTGGGTCATGCGAAACATCTTTCGGAAGTGGGATGCAGAAATTGTAGCTGTGAACTGGTCAAAAGTGGGCCGTAGGAGGTAGATTGGGAGGGATCTGTTCATGCGATGTTGTTCCGAAATATGAGTCTGAAGTAGACTTTCCCTGTTTTCCCTGCTCAGGGATTGCACACTTTCTAAGATGCAGACAGAAAAAAGCAAAAGTAGAAGCTGCCTTCCATCGAGATGGGTTCTACTATCATTATTCATTGCTGTGATTCAATGATGAACAGTGATGAATGATTGACAAATGACGACAAGAAATCTTGGATTTGTATAGGGGCGTTCTGAGTTTTGATTGGCTATACGTCGAATATACAATAAATTAATTACCTCGCCATTTGCCCGCAATTAATTTGATGTATAAGTTTCTGAATCGACGTATAAAACGGTTGAAGAGCAGACAAAATACGTCGAATCTCATACATCGAATTTTGGTCATTTGGAATGGGCCTGAGTACAAAGTTTGTTTGGAGTTCTTGTAGCAGGAGAGCCTTGGACAATTCATACGCCTTCTTACTGTGACAGGAAGTTCTGTCAATCCAAGATCTAACCCATCTCCGGATCTCCAGTAGAATGGCTTGTCCATTAGATTGGTTTTTCACCTCATTATCTTTTGGGCCATGTTTCAAGAATGTTTTTTCTATGAGGTGGTGCCCACATCTGCCCCGAATTGCATTCTTCACATAACGAAAGATGGATTGATCAACAGCATTATACTCACTTGCATCTCCGTCTGTCAATATAAGGTGCACTCGTTTTAGATTTCCAACACCAAGCATAGCTGGCAGTGCCTGTAAGAATATCCATCGGTAGAAAGCTTGTGACTCGTTTGGCATGAAAACATGGATGACCACAAAAGCCTTGCCGGCACTATCCCTCCCGCAAATAAGCAGAAGGGGGCGTCCTTCATTATTGGTCTTGTGAGTGGCATCAATGAACAATACTTCCGGGTAGCAAAGAAACTGACGGTAGTTATTCTCATCCATCCATGCGGCACCAAGCATAACTCTGTTACCGGAGAGAAGGATAGTGTGTTGAAGGGTCTTCATATGCTCCTCTGCCTCTGTTACCAATTGATGCATCGGAGCTATTGTCTTTAGGCCTGCTTCCACCTCCACTGACCTGGCAAACACATTTTTTTCTTTTTCCTCTATTGACACATTGGAAATGGAGTACAAGCCTCTTGGTGGAGGCTTGGTTGTGGCTGGTGTCTTCAATCCTAGTGTCTTCTGGGGACAAATGGCCTCAGTTGCATTTTTCATAGTATCCCCTGTCATCTGGGGACAAATGGCCCTGGATGCATTTTTCGTAGTATCCCCTATACCACCAGGCATTGCTTTGGCTCTCACAAACCTAGAGCACACTGCTTTGATAGCTTTTGCTTCTATGGCCTCCCGCTGGTTGTGAATGAACTCAGTGCGTGTCAATTGGTCCGTAACAGTCAATGTGGACGTGAAACGGCACAACTGTTGCTTTATCATTGGAGCTGCGGCAGCATGAACTGCTTGTCGCATTGCGGCTAGACCCCCAGGACCCATTGGGGGTGGACTTACAATTTGGAGAGGAGTAGGCTTTCTCATCTTGTCCTTTGTAGGTGTTGCCTTTTCATTGGGTCTCGATTGGCTGAAGTGGGATAGTACTTTGGCTCGTATTCCTTGAAACCATGGACCTAGAAACATAGCCATGCTTCAACTCAAGAAGCATCTTCCGAGATTGCGTACCTGTAACTGCTGCCTTCTGTTAGACACAGACTATTTGTCGAGCTTCTGCAGTGAGGTTGTGTGCTTTTATTGGTAACTGGGCTGCAGGTTTGGCATGGTATTTGTGGAGGTTATCTCCTTTACAAGAGATGTAGATATGGGATTGATCACCTGCCTTTTTACTGCTATGAATACCTAGTCTTAGTCTGCAGGAGCACAACTTGTCTCCTGTAATGTCCTTTGAAGTGTGCGTAGCTCGGGGACAGGTTTGGCCATCTGGACGATTTCTCAAACGATCGTGATGGTAGGACTTGTGTTGGTATTGGAGAAGGACTCCTTTTTCATTGAATTGCTCCAAGTCCTGTAGTTTTGTCCCTTTGTATGGCTTTGATCTATAACAGGTCAACCATCCTTTTGAGGCATCATAGGTAAATTCACTTCCATGCTTTAGGCCAATTAGTTTCAAATGGTGAAGCAAATCTTTGAGGCCTTGTTTTGTAGGTGGCCATTGTTTTGAATCGAATCTTGCTTTTCTTGTTTCAATATCATTTGTCACAAATGCGAACAAGTCAGCGGATTCACCGTCATAATCAACAATACCATCAAATGGGAGCTTGGCAGGCCATGTTTGAGCTTCAGCAACTCTGAGTTGCAGTCCTTCTTCTACTTCCTCTTGGGTGAGATTTGACGCATTTTCCGAAGGCATTGGAAGCAATGGGGGAGAAAATGGCAGGAGTTTTGTGTTGGTCTTCTAGGAAAATTGTTTTTGTTACTTTGATGATTTTGGCCAAGTCAATTTTGGCGCCAATGCCGGTGCAAATCCATAGTCAAAGGAGTCAGTCTATAACAAGGTCTACAGTCATTCCGCCGTCAGAGCCATCCAATATTGCATAGAGCTATCAAGGCAGGCATGCGGCCGGCTGGCAACATTTGGGAGAGTCTTATCTGGCCCATCACGTAAAAAACGTAGTGGCGCGCCTGCCAGGACATTCCTTTGCGAGCTGGTCAAGCCTCCTTCAAATCGAACGGGTCGTGTTGGACACATAGTGGTGCCACCCGCAATGATCGGTCTATCCGCAAACATTCCAACATTTAACCGCCAATTGAAAAATTCGCTGCTATTTAACCGCGAATTTAAAAATTCGCGGCTATTTAACCGCGAATTGCCTTCATTCGCCGTTGTGATAACCGCAAATTGAAAAAGCGCCGTTGTGTTAACCGCGAATTGATCTATTCTAAAAATTCAGCAACAAAACCAAACAAATCCATCAATGGTGTTTGTGGAGCCTGAGACTTCCTGGAAGACCAGCAGGGCGAAACAAATCATCCAGGAACTACTGGGGATCTGTCGCGCTATAGAGAAGCCTTAGGTGATGAAGGAAACAAGTAGATGATGAAGGGAACAACATGATTCTAAAAGTCATCTTGAAAGTGATTTGCGAAATGGGCGAGGAGTCTACCAGGTACGAAGGGAGATCGGAAAAGTGGGATCCCAAGAAGCTTGCTACCAGGCTTAGAAGTTACAAAAGGCGAACAATATCTTGGAGCATAAGATGGGACAAAAAATCAGCAGGGCAAAAGACATTCTATGGGATCTCTTGCACACCGCTCCTGGAGTCCCCCATCCCACTCGATGGGGAAAAGTTGACTACAAAAGAAGGTGTGTGACATGAGCGGTGAGAAAAATAGGAAGTCGAACAATGTGGTTCCGAATATTTTGCTGATAGACTGAGAGCGCTACAGAAGCTAGAAAACCAGAAGATCAGCAGAGTCGTCGAGGACCACTAGGCTCATGTCAAACAGTTCGTCGACAACCATCCAGTAACATCCTTTCAAAGCTACTACAAAATATCCATTGACAACGATCGGATGCCCAGAAGCTTCTGCGTCAAGCCATGGACGAGAATGGAAAAGATAAGCCTCCTGTAAGATAACAAGATCTATGCCGTTCTTAACAAAAACAGTATTGCAAGGAGTTTTCTTTGAATGTTTTCAGGGAATGCAACTACCAGGAGATTAGAACAGGAAAGTACTTGCACGCTCTCAAAGTCAAGGGGAAGAATCATAGATCTATAACGTAGTAATGATGCTATAGAAGACTATTTACTACAATTGCATTTTCACTATTGGAACAGCTGCTTTTCCTCTCTCTAGAGGCTCTCAAGAGGACAACTTTCCCAATCCAAACATAGGAAGAAACCCTGTGATTGAGGAACAGACCATTCTATTGCATGGTATTGTTGTATGGAGGAAGAAATGAGAGTGATTCTACATCACGCAATTCGTGGTTGAATTAACCGCGAATTTAGAATTTGCTACTAAATAACCACAAATTGAAAAATTTGCTGTTAAATTTACCGCGATTTTTGAATTCGCTGGGACGCACCACAACGTCAAACGCACGCCCGAAATCTGTCCGTCTAGATTGTTTTGAGGATTTTTTAGCTCTAAATAATTTTTATGTGTCCGTTAAAATGCTCTGCGACTTTGACGCAGGACGTTTCTTTTGACGCGGGAATGACGCGGAGTTGCGTTGGTTTGACGCGGAGTTGCGTCAGTTTAACGCCGATTCCGCGTCAGCTGACGCGGGTTGCGTCAATTTAACGCGGGCCTACATGTCTTGGACGCGGGATGAAACCCGCGTACTGGTATCATTTCCAAAAAGATTGGAGTGTGTGTGAATGAATGAGAGTTTGAGTTCCCACTCTCAATCCAACGAGAGTTGCCCATTTTTTGAACAATGGATCTGATGGAAATTGACAAAGCTGGGGCACATAATGGCAATGATGCTATTTTCCAATCAAGAAGCAACAACCTTATGAATGAGGAGTTTGAAGCCCTTGATGAAATTCACCAACAGATATCCCTGTCTTGCTCATCAACGGAATCCCCCAGATATAGTACTGCTCAAAAATCTTGTAGAAAAAATATTTGAGAATGGATTTGGCAATGTTGGAACTGACCTTTCTTCCATAGGCATACTTGGCCAGGGATCTGGCAATGTCTCCTA